TGACATGCCCTGTGATGGGTTTTTTCATCAACCAGACTTCAGAAAGTTTGAAGGTGGCATTATTTAAGCATCCGCTTCTGAGAGAAGCACCATCGTCTTTGCTCAACAGCAGCGGCGGCAACTTTTGATTGCCCCTGCCTTATCAAAAGCAAGTCTGTTCTCACCCTCGATTTTTGGACTTCGTTGTTGCTCCTTAAATTTAATCCGTGAATGAGGACTGTGTGCAATGAAGAGAGAAAGCTAAAGTGAGAAGGACTTTGGTTAGAGAGCTCCACTGGGAAGAGTGGAGGGGGGGGAGGCGGAAAAACCCAATAAAGGTGGGTTTAAAAGGGAAATCGTGGGCCAATAAAAGGTTTGTTGCCATGTTCCCACCTGCTCCTGATGCACATGAAATCCTTCCAGTTCAGTCCCTTTATCTGATTGTTGGAATTCTTAAGCCACAGCCCCTGTCTCTACAACCCATACCCCACACGTCCTGTTTCCCACCCTATATTTTTTTTCCTCGCTGGACTATCCTTAAACTCTCACAATGGCTCTGGGTTGTCTAGATTAGGGGTCAGCAACCTTTTTCAGCTGTGGGCCGGTCCACCGTCCCTCAGACCATGTGGTGGGCCGGACTATATATTTTTTTGGGGGGGGAATGAATGAATTCCTATGCCCCACAAATAACCCAGAGATATATTTTAAATACAGTGGTACCTTGGGTTAAGAACTTAATTCGTTCTGGAGGTCCGTTCTTAACCTGAAACTGTTCTTAACCTGAGGTACCACTTTAGCTAATGGGGCCTCCCGCTGCAGCCGTGCGATTTCTGTTCTCATCCTAAAGTAAAGTTCTTAACCCGAGGTACTATTTCTGCGTTAGCGGAGTCTGTAACCTGAAGCGTCTGTAACCTGAAGCATCTGTAACCTGAGGTACCACTGTAAAAGCACACATTCTACTAATGTAAAAACACCAGGCAGGCCCCACAAATAACCCAGAGATGCATTTTAAATAAAAGGACACATTCTACTCATGTATAAACACATGGGCTGTATTGAGAGGGCGATTGGGCCGCATCCAGCCCCCAGGCCTTAGGTTGACTATCCCTGGTCTAGATGGAGAATAGAGGGTGGGGGGCGTGTCAAAAGTAAATAGCTGCACATTTGGTTTTTTAAAAAGTGGTTCATTGCTATGAGGAACAGTGGAAGGAGCTGGGTATGTTTAGCCTGGAAAAAAGGAGGCTGAGAGGATACGGGCTGGCCATCTTTAAATATCTCAAGGGCTGTCACATGGAAGATGGAGCAAACTTGTTCTCTCCTGCTCCGGAGGGTAGGATCCGAACCAATGGCTTCAAGTTACAAGAAAGGAGATTCGAACTAAACATCAGGAAGAACCTTCTGACAGTAAGAGCTGTTTGACAGCAGAGCTGTCTCCCTTGGGAGGATGTGGATGCTCTGTTCTTGAAGGTTCTTAAGCAGATGTTGTATGGCCGTCTCTGGGGTTCACAATTTTTCCTTTGCGGCTGCACTTGTGCTGTTCCACACCTGCCACCCTGGAAACACCTGTATTCTGCCTTTCGTTTTGGAATCAGTAATTTGGAGTGAGATAAGACTGCTAATCACCTACCCGGATTTACGCATTACGATCTGGGTAATGCACTTTAAAGTTTGCTTTTTGAGCAAACACGGGGCAGTAAAGTAAATCAAATGGGGAAAAGTTTGTTCTAACCTCGAATACTTTCCCAAGTAAATTCGATAGGCAGCCGAGTCATAGCTGACGTGGCACCAGAAAAACGAAGACTGGTGCGTGCATGAGGCAGGGTGAAGCAATTTGTTTCAGGTGGCAGATCTGACACCCCCAACCCTTGTTGCACCACTACCTGCCCTGTTGTCCCACTGCCTTTGCCCAGATCACTGCAGCCACAGTGCCCCTGCCTTCACTGCTAATACTGCACTTGTGATGTTGTCACTGCATTATGGCAGTTGCAGTGAGGGAGCCGGTGTCAGCGCGGACTGATAGCAGGGGGAGGAAAGGGGCCAGAATCAGGAGTGGGGCATGGCATTTTGCCTACAGCAGCAAAACGTCACCCCCCCCCCGAGAAAAAGCCATGCCACCAGGCAGTAGATGCAAACTAGAAATCCGAAGTCCTTCATTCTCTGCTTTTAGCAGAAGATTCTGCATGGAATCCATGGGAAAAAGCTTCCGCAGACTCCCACTGAAGGCCTTCAACAACAAAAACGGGCTATAAATGGTTCTCCAAATGGTGACAGGTTCAGGAGTGCCAGCTTGGCACTGTGACCGTGAGTGCCCAGGGTTGGTGCATGGCCCTGGTGCTGAAATCTGTGGGTGCCCGTCCCCTTCATGGGGAATTTTGTGGGTGCTCAGGCACCCAGGGCGTTGGCACCTATGGACAGGTTCCAAGGGTTGGTTTTATTTGAAAACTGAAGGCTTATTGGTGTTTTCCAATATTTGCATTTCTTTGCAAAACAGGTTGCATGTGGCTGGGATCTCAAGATTAAATGGGAACAGGGAACAGGATCTGGCCAGCTGCTTCCCTCCCTGCAGGCCACCTACCTGCCAGTCTCCTGACATTACAATGATGCCAGGTGACTCAACGTCATAGAACTAAGAGCACACCCTAAGCACGTTCTCTTTGTTCGTTTGCAGCCGTGGCTTCGACTCAAGCCAGGCTGTGCCTCCAAATTCTAGCCGAAGATGCAAAGGGACACGTCTGCTTTGCAGCCACCTCTGCAAAGAAAGAATTCCATTGTCAGCTGCGTCAACTACGCCCCAGTAGCAACCTCTACGTTCTCCCACCCAAGTCAAGAGAGTGACTATGTGTCCTACGTGACAGTCCCTGTTTGAAAGGCACTTAGAGGAGTCTTCTATTTGAAGTGATGCCTAGACCAAGTTGAGTTTAAGGAATTCCAAGGAGGGGGAGTCAGGGTCCATCTGCACAGTGTGCCTGTATAGCAGACCATGACAGATTAGCGTCAGGAGTAGGTGCAGGAGCCAGGCCCTGTGACCAGTAGGGCTTCGCAGGACTGGGGCCTTCCTAAGTTTGTTCTGGAGAGGCAAGGCACGGCCACACAGATGAGGCCGATTGGTAACCTGGTGGCAAGAGCCGGGAAGGGATATAAGGTCAGCATTTCCCTTCGGCTCTTTGCCACAACAACGTTTCCTGCCTTGGGCTTCTTGCTTCCTGACCCTCGGACCTCAGCTTCTCGACTCCTTGCTTCTCGACCATCAGACCCGCGATTCCCTGCTTCCTGACTCTCATTCCTGCTCCTACCCTGCCATCTTGCCCCTGGTCCCGATGTCCTCAGCCGGGACTTCGATCGCCCGTAGACTGGACCGTGACAATTAGGCTCTGCCTGAGAATTTCCCTGTACAATGCAACCCCTAGACTTTGGCGTTAACCCATGTGTAATAGGTTTCCTGATGTGAGCTGTTGCCTTCAAATAAGGATTTTTCCTAGCTAAGAATTAGACAAATATTTTTTTTTAAAAAAAGGATGTCTGAAACCATGCTGGCTGGATTACCTTTCTTTGCTGGCAAAATATTAATTATATTATAGAATAAGATTAGATTACAAGAGTATGTGGCATCATGATATAGGTATTATTTTTGAAAAATAGCATGGGTTCTAGAAATGATTATGGATTATCAGATTTCTAGCACACAAGCAGTGTTTTCCAGGCAAGAAAACTCTGAACGCAACACCAGTAACTTGCCCTTGTATCTTTTTCTTACACTGCAATATATTATATTTCTAATTTCTGTGTCAGATTGAAATAATTGCACTAGTGCCCCATGTCTCCCACTCCATTGACTCTTGTGGGGCTGGCAAACAACCCCCCCCCCAGCCAGAACAGTGGAGGGGTGGAAGAGAGTTGAGTTTTCTGTGTAATGTTTATCCTTTCTGCAAATATATTTCAAAATGCGCCTTTTAGCACTGCATAATTGGTCACTGTAGAAGTCAACAGGAGAAAGCAAATATCTTATATCTCATGCCAATGAGACCTTTGGGTATAGGGAGGTATAGAAAATAAATAAATAATAATAATGGACACTTCATAAATAGATGGTTAAGCTTTTCTGGTGCATCGTTCAGCTGAATAACCAATATTCCACTGGAAGTGTTTTGAAAAGAATACTATAGAAAATTAAACCCACTGGCTAACTGCATTCATGCTGATTTACCTGCATCAATTCTTCTAGCTGTGTTCTCCAAAGTATCTCTTGCTAAGTGAGTTGTCTCAACTGCCAAGAGATATCAGGTTTTCCATCTGATTGTTTGATGCCAACAATTTGAATGTGTTTATAATTATCTTTCAAAGACACCCTGTGAGCTGCAGCTGTAGAATCATCAGTCACCTTCCTTGGCTGCAAGAAATGCATCCATTCTAACAAGCATGGGTAGACTTCAGGCCTTCCAGGATCAACTTGGTTCTTGTATATAAACCTGATATCCACTGACCACAACCAGTGAGGTGCATAAAGTGGTTATGGGATGGGCACCATGTTGATGTTAAAGCCATGGTTTTCCCAGTAGTGATGTATGGAAGTGAGAGCTGGACCATAAAGAAGGCCGATCGCCGAAGAATTGATGCTTTTGAATTATGGTGCTGGAGGAGACTCTTGAGAGTCCCATGGACTGCAAGAAGATCAAACCTATCCATTCTGAAGGAAATCAGCCCTGAGTGCTCACTGGAAGGACAGATTGTGAAGCTGAGGCTCCAGTACTTTGGCCACCTCATGAGAAGAGAAGACTCCCTGGAAAAGACCCTGATGTTGGGAAAGATGGAGGGCACAAGGAGAAGGGGGCGACAGAGGACGAGATGGTTTGATAGTGTTTTCGAGGTTACCAGCATGAGTTTGACCAAACTGCAGGAGGTAGTGGAGGACAGAGGTGCCTGGCGTGCTCTGGTCCATGGGGTCACGAAGAGTCGGACACGACTAAACGACTAAACAACAACAAACCATGTTGATGAACCAAGGGGCTGATTGGGGATAAGGCAGCATCCTACATTTTGTGCATAAGGGCCCAGTCTTAATCCTCAGCATTGCCAGTCGAAATGATCTCAGACAAAAAGGGCCCAGGAAGACTACCTTGTAAATATGTGGGGCAGAGAAGAAGGAATGATGGGGGGGGGGAGAGACACACACATTTCCCCTCTTTGGGATCTTTTATTGAGGGTAGCAGTGAGATTCAATTCCGGGTCTTTGTGGTTCATCATAGCTCACACTCTGAACCCCTACATTTGACTGGGGTTCTTTCCTCTTAAAAATCCGCATCCTGAAGTACCTTACTAGACATAACGGTGATGTTTCAGCTAAAAGGAAGTTTTTCAAACACTGAGGATCCTTAAAAGTTTACGGTGGGCAGCTGGATTCTCTGTGACAAAAATCAGTTGTGACTTTTTTTGACAGCTACGTAGGTGAGGCACAGGACAACAGGCAACTCAAATAGACAGGATGAAGCGAAACCAGATTTCCCTTCTCTGCCTTCAGCTGCCCGACCCAACTTCTCCAGAGCCTCTTCACCTGTACCTCTTCCAATAACTGTCATTTCTCCCTCAGCCACCATGTTCTTTTGTGACATCACAAGCAGTCCACAGCCAATAGCATCAGCACAACCTCCCGTGGCCTGACGATTTTGGAGGCACCTCCACAGGGGTTTGCTTATTTCTTATTTATTTCTCACCCAGCACACCTTTCCTGTGTAACAATACCAAGTCAGGTGTGTGATATCCCATTATGTGACTTTGAATAAAAAGATAGAATAGCTACTGCAGGTGGATGTGTTTAGAAAGGCGTTTCTTCAAATGAACTATAAGCTGCCTTGCTTAAGCCCTGCAGTTCTCTTCACTGCTTTCATGGGTGGCCTTGAGGAAACCTCACTGGCTTCAGACATCCATGGGACCACGAATGGGACGGCTACCATATGGCAGCATCCTCCAGGCACTTCTACCGACTTCTGCCTAGGGACTTTATATGCTAACTTTCAGCCTTCCAGCTTCCACAGGTTCCATCTAATCATGAACATTTCCACACATCCCACCCCATTCGCTCACATACATGTACCATTTCGCCCTGACCGTTTTTGAGACCTCCCATTCCCACACACAAGTGTACGCCAGCCAGCATCCACGATGAACACCGGCAGATACAATCGGTCATAATTTACTCTCCATTCGTTTACGTTTGGGTCCTGCTTCAGTCCACAAATATCCACCGGCTTCTGTTGACTGGCCTCCAAAGGTGAGTTCCAGCCAGCTGACATCCACAAACACCAGCCTTGAGACATCTGCCCGCTTCCAAATGCAAGCTCCACCAGCTTTCACCCGCCAACCCCTGACAGTTTCCATTAAGTCCATCACTATAGACTTCAGCCAGCTTCGGACCACGGATATCGGTAGACTTCAAGCCGCAATCCCACTCAGCAAACTTGCCCCTATAAATAAAGCAGAGATGAAATCGGTACAACTCAATTCCATGTCTGGGAAAGCTTGCTGCAATAAAAGCACATTTTTAGCAGGTGTCTTTAGAAGTGTAGGCAGGTACTCTCTGTGGCAAGTCCTAAATTGTGGAATTCCCTTCCCACAGAGATGTGTCTGGTACCTTCATTACATAGATTCTGTCATACGCTGAAGAGGTACCTCTTTCTCCTGGCGGGGTATAAATAAAATTATTATTATTATTATTATTATTATTATTATTATTATTATTATTATTATTATTATTTGACACCTCAGATATTTTAGGACCCACCCTATTCTACCAACTGTAATTAGTTTTAATATTGCATTTTAAAATTGCTCTAACTGTTCTTCCTCTTTCGTCGTCTTTCTTTTAATTTCTAGGATCTCTACATCAAACTTTCACTTTCCAGCTTTTTTTTGGGGTGGGGGGAATTAAGACTCTGGTTCCCATTTGCAGAGTTGTGAGGAAGAGAGCCCTTTATAGGAGGGACCCTTTAATTAGTTCCCTCCTATAAAAACTCTGTGTTTAAAGTTTAAAGAACAAATTACTTTTACTTAGTGTACTGTACTTGCAGTTGCAGATTAAATATACAATGCAGGTGGGCGTTTTCTTAAATTGTTAATACATCTTACACAGATTTAATTGTTAAGCCTCCCTGAGGCAGACAGCGGCACAACAGTTAAGACTCTTTAACTGCCATAACTGCCACAGAGTGTATGACATCAGAGTTCTACAGCTCTTGCAATTCATGCACTTAACATATGCACTTAACATATGCTAACATCCAAGTTTTCAGTGGTGGCAGGGGTGCCATAGAATCATTGCTCTTCTGCATGTTCTGTCTCTTTTCCCTTTTGTTTATTTCCCCCTTCCCTTCTTGGGCTGGCGCTTTAATGCCAATTAGGTAGCGTGGATATTGCAAATGAAACTTGCAAAATAATCCTGGGAACTGTAGTTTGCTAAGGCTGCTGAGAGTTTGTTAGGAGACTCCCCTCTTCCCCTCACAGAGCTGCTACGATTCCCAGAGTTCCCTGGGAAGAGGGACTAATTGTTAAACCGCTCTGTAACTCTGTGAGGGGAATAGGAGTCTCCTAACAACTCTCTGCACCCTTAGCAAACTAAAGTTCCCGTAACTGGGGGGAAGCCATGACAGTGTTATGATACTGCTTTAAATGTGAAGCTGCATCCAGTCTCATTGGATATTCTGTGCAAAGTGAGTTAGGTTGGTGGGTCCACTGCCGATTTGGGGGCCCTGGCAAATGCCCAACCTTGCCACCCTCTGGAGCAAACCCTGATGCTAGATCAGGGGTCAGCGAACTTTTTCCGCAGGGGCCGGTCCACTGTCCCTCAGACCTTGTGAGGGGCCGGAATATATTTTGAAAAAATATATATGAATGAATTCCTATGCCCCACAAATAACCCAGAGATGCATTTTAAATAAAAGCACACATTCTACTCATGTCAAAACACTAGACAGGCCCCCAAAAATAACCCCGAGATGCATTCTAAATAAAAGGACACATTCTACTAATGTAAAAACACGGATTCCCAGATTGTCTGTGGGCCGGATTCGGCCGCCAGGCCTTAGTTTGCCTACCCACGTGCTGGCTCCCAGTACGTTTCCGAGCACAATTCAAAGTGTTGGTGCTGACCTTTAAAGCCCTAAACGGCCTTGGTCCAGTATATCTGAAGGAGCGTCTCCACCCCCATCGTTCCACTGAGGTCCAGTGCCAAGGGCCTTCTGGTGGTTCCCTCACTGCGAGAAGCCAAGTTACAGGGAACCAGGCAGAGGGCCTTCTTGGTAGTGGCGCCTTCCCTGTGGAACACCCTCCCACCAGATGTCAAAGAGAACAACAACTACCAGGCTTTTAGAAGACATCTGAAGGCAGCCCTGTTTCGGGCAGCTTTTAATGTTTGATGTATTATAGTATTTTAATATTCTTTTGGAAGCCACCCAGAGTGGCTGGGGAGGCCCAGCCAGATGGGCAGGGTATGTATGTATAAATTATTATTATTATTATTATTATTATTATTATTATTATTATTATTATATCAGCCTTTCTCAACCTGTGAGTCCCCAGATGTTGTTGAACTACAACTCCCATCACGCCTAGCTAGCAAGGCCAGAGCTTGGGGATTATGGGAGTTGTAGTCCAACATCTGGGGACCCACAGGTTGAGAAGCGCTGTGCTAGATAAACAGTTTGGCCTTCAATCTGAGCATTGCTGACAGCCTTGAGTCCCTCAGCCAGGGGAAAGCTGGAAGGTCTAAGTATCTTTGGTGGTGAAAGTATCTGGCCGAAAATGAGTTTCATAGTTAGGTGGGGATTTGAACCTTGATCTCTAGGATTCAAGTCCTATCTTGTCTGCTACCTCATGCTCCAATGTATTCCACCTGCCAGAGACCCCCAACAAAAAAGGCACAAGTTCCTGTGAACCAAGTACCTCCTGAGTTTATCAGCACGCAGGCGCAGTAAAGCGATCGTATAGTCCGTATAGTTAAAGCTATGGTTTCCCCTGTAGTGATGTATGGAAGTGAGAGCTGGACCATAAAGAAGGCTGATTGCCGAAGAACTGATGCTTTTGAATTATGGTGCTGGAGGAGACTCTTGAGAGTCCCATGGACTGCAAGAAGATCAAACCTCTCCATTCTGAAGGAAATCAGCCCTGAGTGCTCACTGGAAGGACAGATCGTGAAGCTGAGGCTCCAATACTTTGGCCACCTCGTGAGAAGAGAAGACTCCCTGGAAAACACCCTGATGTTGGGAAAGATGGAGGGCACAAGGAGAAGGGGACGACAGAAGACGAGATGGTTGGACAGTGTTCTCGAAGCTACCAGCATGAGTTTGACCAAACTGCGGGAGGCAGTGGAAGACAGGAGTGCCTGGCGTGCTCTGGTCCATGGGGTCACGAAGAGTCGGACACAACTAAACGACTAAACAACAACAGCAGCAATCAGGCTGAGCACTGTGCCCTTTGACTGCTGGAGCGATGTGCCACGTTATCTTCACCTTGGGAAGATTATTCTCCACGTGTCGCTTTCAGAGGGACATTCTTGGGTGCCAGCCAATATTCCAGAATCAGGCCTGATGGCATTTCAGTTCATTTGTTCCTCTGTAATCCTCACCCACGCGATCTGTTGTGCCCATCTGCTGCCTGCTGGAGTGATTGAGAATAGTCAGATAAATCCACTACATTATAACAGATGCGATAGGAAAATACAAATGCAGCAAAAGAGTGGATGCTTTGTGTTTCAGCTGAATGTGGAAAGTGAACCTCAACTGCACAGTGCCACTGTTTTAATGAATCGCGTATCATCTGTCTGTCTGTCTATCTGCCTATATGGGGTGATATCTAAACCACAAGCTGCAAACCATAGGAGACAGTGCAGTTACAGCTTGTGGTTAGCCCCAGGGTCGGCCCAAGACATTCTGGCACCCGAGGTGAGCCACAAAATGTACACACCCACCCACCAGGGAAGAAGTGGGTGAGTAAAGATTTGCACTGAAAACAAGGGAGCTCAGCATTGTGCATCAATAAAATGCAAAGGATCTGAGTGAATTGTTATTACCTGAGACCGTTCCTGTTTATTTTATTGATGCATTTTCCAGTGGCTGCTTAAAAACACTTTTGCTTAGGCAAACCTAACCAGATGCATGCAATGCAGGTGTGTGTTTTATCATTGATTTTAATTATTTTTTTGAATTTTTCAAATACTTGGTTTTGCCCGTCCCCCCTGATTATTTTATCATTTTTTTATTTTTGCAAAATGCCTTGAGGGGTTTTAAAGTGCTTTAAAAAACAAAAACAAAAATCAAGTCTTATATAAATTTTATGGGGGGAACCCGCACACACAAAACCCAGATTTTATTTTCATTTTATTTATTTAATTTCTATACCGCTTTATATTTTTAAGAAAAATCTCAAAGCAGTTTACAGCATACTAAATCAATAAAACCTGAATAAAACCATCAGAAGAAAGTCAAATACAGTCATACCTCGGGTTACAGGTGCTTCAGGTTGTGTGTTTTCGGGTTGCGCACTGCGCCAAACCTGGAAGTACTGGAACAGGTTACTTCCGGGTTTCGGCGCTTGCGCATGCACAAAAACACAAAATTGTGCTTTGCGCATGCACAGCAGTGCCGAATAGTGACCTGCGCATGTGCAGACACGGCACTGCAGGTTGCAAACGCTGCAGGTTGCAAACGTGCTTCCCGCATGGATCACGTTTGCAACCTAAGTGTCCACTGAATATACAGTCATAGTAATGTAATTAAAAGAAAACTAAAATATTATCATTAAGATTTCAAAATAAAACATTACAAAGGAGGTTAACTACGGAATAAATAAAGTTAACAAAAAAATCTTAAAACATTTCAAAAGAAAACATTGCTAAGTGAAGTCAAATATAAAATGCACATTTAAAACAACACAATAAAAGATTATCATAAGCGTGACACGGCTTATGAACTGGATGAACAGACACAGATGAACAGGAGCAGAGCAAAAACACGTCTTATTTGCAAACTGTCCGGGATTTGCGCGCGTTACTCCCAGCGACGGCCCCGGACAGAGGAGGAAAAACACAACGTGATTTTTGCGCGCGCTTGTGCTCGTTGCAAATTACCTTTTTATCACCCGAGGAAACCATCGGATTGCAAAATAAAATAAAATAAAATCTCCTCCTACCCCGCCACCCCTGCATATCCTACCCACAACTTCCAGCAACGGAAAATTAATTTATTCGGAATATACGGTGCGCGCTCGCTTCCTTTCCCCCCCCCTCCCCGCACCGCCCCCTGCCGGCAGAAACGACAAACTGCAACGGCGGGCGAGGAAGAGGAGCAGCGCGCCGAGCGAGGGCGTCAACGGCGGCGCGCGCGCGCGAGGACGCCGGCAGCAAAGCCTCTCTGGCAGCGGTCGAGGGGCTCGGCGTTGGCGGGTCGTTGGCGGGCGCGAGGCTTCGCGCCGAGGCACGTGCGCGGGGAGGGGGAGGAGAGCGGGGGTTGCGGGGCGAAGCGTCTCCGCTTTCAGCCCGAGGCGGGAAGGGAGGAGAGAGGAGGCTTTGAGCTCCCGCTGCCACGTGTCACCCCCCCCCGGGGTCAGTACTGGTTTAAGCAAATGAGAAGAATAAGAATATACCTTCGCGTATTTTATATTAGGGTGGTTTTTTTTTGGGGGGGGGGAAGCCGTTCATTTAAGGAGCGTTGGGTGAGGCTGGCAAAGGGGCGATTTGAACCCGCGTCTGCTAAGCCGTTGCGTCGGCTTCCCCCCCCCCCAACCCTAATTCAGATTCCCGCCGGCTCCAAGGCTCGGTTTCCCCAAATCTTGGCCTCCCCCCCCTCCATAATCTTTGTTTTCAAGCAGCTAAATTATGGGGTTTTTAAAAAAAGACACCACAATATCCAGACATGTTAATCTGCAATCCCTCAGTCGACTTCGAAATTTATTAATTTTTTTGTCTTTTAGTTTTGTTGCTGATGTTGCATTCAATGTTTTTTAGCTGCCTTTGTTATCTATAATGCTGAATTTTACACGGTCCTGGATGAAGGGCGGTATAAGAAGGTAGTAAATTTTAAGGAAGGGCTATAACCTCTTCGGGACGCGGGTGGCGCTGTGGGTAAAACCTCAGTGCCTAGGACTTGCTGATCGTATGGTCGGCGGTTCGAATCCCCGCGGCAGGGTGCGCTCCCGTCGTTCGGTCCCAGCTCCTGCCCACCTAGCAGTTCGAAAGCACCCCTAAGTGCAAGTAGATAAATAGGTACCGCTTTATAGCGGGAAGGTAAACGGCGTTTCCGTGTGCGGCGCTGGTGCTGGCTCACCAGTGCAGCTTCGTCACGCTGGCCACGTGACCCGGAAGTGTCTTCGGACGGCACCGGCTCCCGGCCTCTTGAGTGAGATGGGCGCACAACCCTAGAGTCAGACACGACTGGCCCGTGTGGGCAGGGGTACCTTTACCTTTACCTTTATAACCTCTTCAGGGGATGCGGGTGGCAATGTAGGTTAAACCAAAGAGCCTAGGACTTGCCAATCAGAAGGTCGGAGTGAGCTCCCGTTGCTCGGTCCCTGCTCCTGCCAACCTAGCAGTTTGAAAGCACATCAGAGTGCAAGTAGATGAATAGATACCGCTCCGGCGGGAAGGTAAATGGTGTTTCTGTGCACTGCTCTGGTTCGCCAGAACCAGTCATGCTGGCCACATGACCCGGAAGCTGTACGCCGGCTCCCTCGGCCTTAAAGCAAGAGGGCCACAACCCCAGAGTCGGTCACAACTGGACCTAATGGTCAGGGGTACCTTTACCTTTATAACCTCTTTACATGCCCAGCCATTGGGGTGGACGGGGAGAGGGAGATCACATTTCTGTCTCCCCAACATCCATTCCCTGTCCAATACATGGCTGCAATTTAATAAATATACTGATCCAGGTATTACTGCCTTTTTCTTCTGCCTTTACTGACTCCAAGCGGATCCAGACATTACCCTTGGTTCTTACCAACCATCCATACCCATTTTAAACTTTGCAACAACCCCTTTCAGTTTGGGGTGAGAGAGACTGACTGGCCTAAGGTCATCAAATGAGCTGGATGAAACACTGACAATTTGACCACTACTATGCTTTGTATATTTTATCTATTTTTAAATTGTATAATATAGTATACTTCTCTGGCTCTACGTATTAGGACATTCTCCTCTAGTGTAAAATCTGCCTACAAATGGGGATGAGTGTGCTCCAGGGTGGATTTGATTTAAATCAAATCAATTTAAATCACAATTTAAATCACTAGTAAGTAAATCAATTTTTTTACGGAAAGACATTCCTGCTGGTATAATAATATTTACAATCAGATGAAGGTTTCACTATTGGAATAATAAATTTTCAGAGTAGTTTTTACCGTTATATCAAAAATTACTGATTTGGTTATACTATTAGAAATACATAGACAGATAATTATGAAATTATGGTGAGGTTTAATAAGTTAATTCTATATTTGGACAACTTTTCTTCTGTGCTTTATTGGAAGGAGAAAAATAATCATTTCCTTAATAACAATTTAAACAATTTATTTAACAAAAAGAGTAACATTGGAGCCCGACCTGTGGCTCGGGCACGCTGCAGGCCCCTCAGTGGTGACACCTGGGGTGACCTGCCCCTACTGCAGCCCCCTTCCTCTGCCCCTGTGTCTTTTATTTCTAATCCATCATTGCTCATGCCTATTCATCATTTCTCTTCACTTTCCTTGTACACTTGCATTACACATATTCCAGCTGTGTAGGAACCTCCTGCTACATTTCTCCTCTCCCAATGTATTGAATTTTTTTTCATTGTGCAAATAAAGTGAACGAAATGGGGGGGGGCAAAGAAAAAGTGCTTGAAACTGTAGTACAATTCAGTATAGGTAAAGGGACCCCTGACCATTAGGTCCAGTCGTGGCCGACTCGGGGGTTGCGGTGCTCATCTCGCTTTATTGGCCGAGGGAGCCGGCGTACAGCTTCCGGGTCATGTGGCCAGCATGACTAAGCCACTTCTGGCAAACCAGAGCAGCGCACGGAAATGTCGTTTACCTTCCCGCCATAGCGGTACCTATTTATCTACTTGCACTTTGACGTGCTTTTGAATTGCTAGGTTGGCAGGAGCAGGGACCGAGCAACGGGAGCTTACCCTGTCGTGGGGATTCGAACCGCCAACCTTCTCATCAGCAAGTCCTAGGCTCTGTGGTTTAGCCCACAGCGCCACCCGTGTCCCTACATATAAGGGTATAAATAATGCTACTTTTCCAACAAGTGTACAATAATTAACAAGTCAAAATTGTTATGAATGCATTACAAATAAAATATCCATGCACAATCTGTGTCTAGAAGCAATCTGCTCATATGATGCATGGTGGTACAGTGGACTGGGAACCCAGGAGTGATTATGCCATCTCGTGGAGCCCCAGGGGTAACTGACACATCTCCCTTGCTCTGGCAAGTGAATGAGGTGATAACAAGGCTTTTATGTTTGTGATATGTTAGCGTAAAATAAGGAGAGCAAATATGAATTCAGTGCATATTACTGTCATGAAAACACACTGAATTGGAGTCCCACTGATTCTAAGACAGGATATTATACTGTATTTGTGCAGCTCTTCTTTACGCACATACAACAAGAACAACAATTAGAATAACAATGGAGAAAGCCCTGCTGCCTGCTTTTTTCCATACTCATCTAAGGGAGCTGTTTTGATGAGCTCCAGCTTTTAAAAATTTACTAGTAAGCTACTGCTCCCAGCAAATCCTATGCTGGCGCCTCCTCCACATTTTCTTAAAATTACTTAGAATTGCCAAATGAGAATTTGCAACAATAGGAAAATGCTACCCCAAAACAGCAAGCACAGGTTAAATTATTTGAATTTGTCTGAGTCCACAGTAGGGGGGAGGTCAGTCTTTCAAATAAGGAACATCTGCAAACTCTCAGAACCGTGGTTTAAGGGCTGCTGTACACACCACAAAATTCCTGTGCAGAAATAGGGATGTTTTTCAGCATTGGTGTTTTTATTATGTTTTTAGATACGTTGTGAGCCCCTGAGAGTGGCTGGGGAAACCCAGCCAGATGGGCGGGGTATAAATATTAAATTTATTATTATTATTATTATTATTATTATTATTATTATTATTATTATTACAAATACCAACAACTAAATTAAGATGCTGAAACCAAGAAGCTTTGTGGGGAGGAACTAGGAGTGGATTTCTGTGTGAAAAAGTTGTGGTCTCAAGGAGCGGGTTCTAAAATCATGCCATTACCAAAAGCCAGTGAGGATAAGTGATTAGAGTGTCAGACTAGGACCTGTGAGACCAGGATTAAAATCCCCATGGCCATGAAACTCACCTTGGGCCAGTTGTTGCCTCTCAGTCTAAACTACCTCACAGGGTTGTTCTGAGGATTAAACAAGGAAAGGGAGAACCATGTACAGTGGTACCTTGGTTTTCGAACGTCTCAAAAGTTGAAGGTTTCAGCTTTCGAACACTGAAAACCCGGAAGTAACTGCTTCGGTTTTCAAACGCCTTCGGAACCCAAACGTGCCCCATGGCTTGTGTATTGAGTTTTCAGGACGTAAATGCTTCTGGAAATGCATGCTTCGGTTTTTTAATGTTTCAGAAGTCGAATGGTCTTCTGGAAAGGATTACGTTCGAAAACCAAGGTACCACTGTACTTCACCTTGATGTCTTTGGGGGGGAAAGAGGATATAAATGCAATAAATAAAGAAATAGCCCTATCCCATATAACCAACCACTCACAGCATCTCTGAGAGCTGGAGAATATGGGTGTAACCTCTTAAAATGACTTAAGTGTATGGGCAGTTTCATACAAGGGAAGTCAGTTAGAATCATAGAACTGTAGAGTCGGAAGGGATCCTAGGGGCCATCTAGTCCAATTCCCGGCAATGCAGAAATCTCAGCTAGATCATACATGACACATAGCCATCCAACCTCTGCATAAAGACCTTCAGTAAAGGAAAGTATAGTGGTACCTCGGGTTACATACGCTTCAGGTTACAGACTCTGCTAACCCAGAAATAGTGCTTCAGGTTAAGAACTTTGCTTCAGGATGAGAACAGAAATCATGCTCCGGCGGCAGCAGCAGGAGGCCCCATTAGCTAAAGTGGTGCTTCAGGTTAAGAACAGTTTCAGGTTAAATACGGACCTCTGGAATGAATTAAGTACTTAACCAGAGGTACCACTGTACACCACTTTCTGAGGGAGACTGTTCCACTGTCAAACAGCTCTGACTGTCAGAAAG